GGTGTCTGAATTCTTTGGGAGTCGGACACGAGGTGGAGAGCCGCGGCTGCTGCCAGTCGCTGGTGGACTGCACGACAGCATGGATGTTGTGGGGCACTGCATCAAGGAGCTTGTCAGCTAGTTCGGCAAGGTCGTCGATGCAAATATTGCCAGAAGTGGTTAAAATCATGCGCACATTGGACGGCAACCGCTGCAGAAAAAGTTGACGTAAGATCGAAGTATACATGGCCGAGGCCTGGCTTCCCAGAAGTTGTTTCATACAACGAAGGAGTTGAGAAGGTTTTCTGTCCCCGAGTTCCTCAATCATGAGTAGCTGCTGCAGCCGGCGCTGCTCTGAAGCGATTGTTCGACGGATCAACTCATTCTTTAGGTGATCATAGGGATCTTGGGCAGGGGGAGAAATTACTACGTCACGTACCTCCGAGGCCTCGGCTGAAGACAGTGACGTGACAACTTCTCGGAATTTTGTCATCTGAGAAGTGATGTTCCGGCAAGCAAACTCTTGTCCGATCTGAGCAAACCAAAGTTCCGGATCCGCCGGCCAGAACGCCGGGAGCCGTCGGGTGACTGAATCGATTTGTTAAGCGATGGGTTAGCTTGTCCTGGTGTTGGTCTTCGTCGGCTTCAGCCATGTCGCACGGTGTGGTCTCCAAGGCCTCAGGCACCCACGGAGTTCTGAGACATCATAAGTGGAGGTCAGGATACGGGAGCGGAATGGTCTGGCGGTGCTGGAGGTGTAGTAGGTCACGTCCGGGTCACCACAAAAGAACACAAAGGACAGGAGTGCTGGTTAACTTGATGTGATCATGTAAAGAGTGTGCTTTAGCTGGTGCCAATATTGCATGCCAATTTATAATTAATTAAGCGAAAAGCACAGGTTAGACGTAACAAGAAGTGCGAGGTGCATCAAATTAAACTTCAGTCACATTAGAGGAACATGCCGAATCACAGTGGTGCAGCACTCTTGCCTGCACAGTATTTTTCGTGCGAGTCTAACTTCTTGTGTCAGGGTGGGGCCGTTCGTATTTTCGTCGTTGCTCAGCAGTTTCGGCGTGCGCTCGCAGTGACTGTACTAAGGTACAACTTGCAGAACTGTAAAGGAACATTTCTTTGGCAGTTATTTTAACTTGAAGATAAGGCCAAAGTGTTTGTTAGCCTTCCAGAGTATTTATGGTATACTTAATCCTTCAAGTCTGGTGTTGGAAACTCTGGAAAACACACATGGAACTGTATGGGTGAAAAACTGAAAATGCTTTTTGTGGTCATGCTTACCATTTGTTGAGGGAATTGTTGCTTCTTGGCGTTCCGAGATATCGATCAGTCTCAACAAACCCCAACACTTTTATTTTAAACTACACACACTACACACACGTTCCAAAGAGACGAGCCACTTTCTCGTTCTCCGATCGGTAGCGTTCCAGCTTTCGTTCTGTCCGTCTCCACTTTCCCAGCTGTTGATCTTCGCGGCTGCATCCGGCCGCTGCGGGTACGACGTTTACATCTCGCTCCCCGCGCGCGATCGTAAATCGTCTCCGCCGAGACAAGCCGTGGTGTGAGGTTCAGCTCGCTCCTCACGTGCATCCTCTCCGCAGAGGGAATCCGATGCCGTCCTCGCGAAAGTTCCAACACACTCCCCACCGAATGGGCGCGAGCACATTCTAGAGTTCCGTCATTTCTAGGGGGTAGATTAGTTGCACTGGCCTTCGCAATACTGTACCGCGATGTACGCGAATCTCGCATGAACGAACCCTTGCATCGCGTCCATAAAATACCTTCTCAACCTTTCCAAGCTTCCAAAGCAGTCGTGGAAGTGGCTCTCAAAAGGACCAACTGGCCCACTCGGAGCGGAGGGGACTGCTTTTGGTGACTAGCATAAACAGACCTCAGTTCTCGGAGGTATTCCGTCCCCCACGTCCCCCAAAATAAATTTAGGATCCGTTTTCGCTTTCGCCACAGACCGCGAAGTGTCTCCGGTGTCGAAGCGAGCGGCTCTCCCCCGACAGAGCCGTATATTGGGCTCTGTCCCCCGGCCGCCGGCAGCGCCGTCAGCCGTCTACCGATTAGAAAGCTCGCCGGCGTGAGAGGGTCGCCCTCTCCAACCTCGTTGTATACAAAGGTCAATAGCCTCGAATTCACCACGGCTTCAATCTCGGTGAGAACCGTGGCCAACTCCTCCGCGCCCAGGCATTTCTTTCCGATCACCTTCCTCAATGACACCTTTACTGAGCGCACGAGCCTCTCATAAAAACCTCCCCACCATGGCGCTCGTTCGGCAATAAATCGCCACTCTATGCCAGCATTGGCAAAATGCTGAATCACATCAGGGTGTTGGAGTGTCTTCCACAGTTCACTTAGCTCTTTTGAGGCCCGCTTAAATATCAAAGCGTTATCCGAATCAATGACGCGGCATACCCCTCTCCGCGACACAAATCTGCGAAAGGCATGCAGAAAGCTCTTTGTCGACATGTCTGTCACTAACTCTAAATGGACCGCTCGGGTGACCGCGCATGTAAACAACAGCACGTAACATTTGCTGGTGAGGTCGTTCGTTTTAACATACAGAGGTCCCGCAAAGTCTGTGCCCACTACTTCAAACGGGTCCGCTCGCGTTGTACGATCCACCGGCAAGGGTCCCGTTGGAGCACTTGCAGGAGTCGCCTTGAATCGCTGGCAGCTAGGTCACACACGCACGCCCCACTTTCTTTACCAGCTGTCTTCCGCGGAGGATCCAGTACTTCTCGCGCAGCTGCACGAGAGTGTCCCTGGCTCCCGCGTGCAGTACCTGGCGATGGACGTCGACAGTCAGCAACGTTGAGTATCGATGCTCCTTAGGCAGTACAATGGGGTGGCGTTCTTCTTGCGTCAGGCTCGATGACTTGAGTCGACCGCTGATCCTCAGCTATCCTTCTTCATCGATGAAAGTGCGAAAGTCACGCAAGAGCGACCCAGGTGGGGGCGACATTCTCTTTGCTGTACAATCAATATCGGAGGCAAACGCTAATCTTTGTGCTCTCGTTATCCAGTGTGTTTGCGCTACGTGGATCTCCTCGGCTGTCAGTGGTCCCATCCTTTTTTCTGACGATCTGAGGTTATAGATGAACCGTAAAATCCAGGCCGTTGTTCTGTGGAGTTTCAAGGCCGAGCTGAATCTTGAGATGTCGAGCAACTCTTCCGGTACAGTTGCAGTTACCTCGAAGAGCTCTGCTCTTGGAGTCCTCTCCTCGAGCCCGTCGTGGGAAAGCTCCTCGTCACTTTCCCCAGACCACTCTGTCGCGGGCAGTAGCAACCAAGTTGGTCCGTTCCACCAGAGCGGTGCAGACAGCAGTCTATCCGCGGACAGCCCTCGTGTCATCAGGTCGGCAGGATTTTCCTTCCCCGGGCAGTGGTGCCACATTGCCTTCTCGCTGTTTGCTTGAATTTCTTGTACTCTATTTTTCACGAACGTCTTCCACCTGGATGGCTCTCCCCTAATCCAATGCAGAGCAATCATGGAATCCGTCCAAAGTGCACTTCATCCACTTTGATTTCCAGGTGTGTCCTTACGTACTTAAACAGCCTCGATCCAATCAAGCATGCCATGAGCTCTAATCTAGCAAGGCAGATTTCCTTCAGGGGCGACACGCGGCACTTAGCCAGTAAGACTGTCGCGGTCGTTTCCCCGGTGTCATCCATTGAGCAGATGAAGATCATGGATCCGTATGCGGAGGTGCTGGCATCAGAGAACACGTGCAACGTACGATGTACAACGTTGCCCTTCAGCTCGCTGTCGTAGAATCTGGGCACGTTAATTTGCTGAAGTGTGGTGAGCTCGTCGCACCAGTTGTTCCAGCCACTCATCAGTTCTTCCGGCAGTGTATCGTCCCAGCGCAGATTCAGCTTCCAGATTTCCTGAAACAAGATCTTGGCTCGCACCACGAAGGGGGAGAGGAAACCAAGGGGGTCATACAGTCATGCTGTCGTCTGGAGCACGAAACGCTTGGTGTTTCTTCGTTGGCGGGCAAACCCAATCACGTGTTCTGCCGAAAGGGAAAGGCTGTCTTCATTCGGCTTCCACGTCAGACCGAGTACCTTCAACACACCCGTCTGTTGTCCCAATGGTCTCTTATCGGGACTCTTGTCTTCAAGCATTTTCGACAGGGCTGCGCTATTGGAGCCCCACTTATGGAGCTTCATCCTACTCCAAATATCTCGATCGCCTCGTTGCAGAATGTTCGGGCGTCCTCTTCACTTTCCGCGCCCGTCAAGAGGTCGTCAACGTAGACCGATCTACCCAGTCGCTCTGCTGTCTTGGGGAATACGCTCTCCATTTCTCTGAAATGATGTCGTAGGGTCGCGGCCAACAGAAAGGGGCTGGACGTGGCTCCGAAAATGACCCTCATCATACGCCAGACTTCCACCTCCGGAGTTGTTTGGTTCGGTTGAGGAACTTCTTTGTACCAGAGGAACCGCAGAGCATTGCGATCCTCCGGGTTTACTCCAATTTGAAGGAAGGCCTTTTCGACGTCCGCAACCAGTGCCACCGGGTGTTGCCTGAAGTTGAGAAGCAGGCTAACAAGGTCTGGGTTCAGGTTCGGACCGCTCTCCAGGTTGTCGTTTAGTGACTTGCAGTTCGGTCCGTGCGAAGACGCGTCGAAAACGATTCTCATCTTCGTCATGCTGCTGCCTTCTCGCAGAACAGCCTGGTGGGGCATGTAGTACACGCGTTCACCCGAGTTATCTTCTCTCTCGACCCTCTCAGCCATTCCGTTCTCGACGTAAAGCCGGACTGCCTGATCATATCTCTGCATGAGCTCAGGATTCTTGCACAGCCTCTTTCGTTGGCTTTCGAGTCTCTTCCAAGCCATCTCTCGGTTGCAATCAAGATTTACATCAGGTTTCCAAAAAAGGCTCACTTCGTATCTTCGATCAGATTTGGTGATGCTTCTCTCAAAGCGCTGCATGATGTCGCTATCGGAGTGATCCTGGACCTCTGCGTCCACAACTCCCATACTCTCAAGCTCTCAAAATCCTCTCAGGACAGCCGTGTTCTCCTGGTCGCTCACGGCAGCTCTGAGGACGATCACTTGGGAACAGTTGATAACAGCTGCAGTCGCCTGGGAGCGCCCATGTACTGCCCAACCAAAGGCGGTCTCCACTGCCGTCAGGTTCTCGCTCAGTCGACGGACTCTTCCCGTAACGCATCCCCAGTAGTGCTCCGATCCTAAAAGGATTCCTACTCCCTTGCACTCGAGTCCGTTCAGGTCGTCACCAACCGTTAGTGCGAGCTCCTCCATATTCACCAGGATGTCTTCATCCAGGCCTGGAAATTCTTGTTCGCAGATAGAGCGCGTCTCGAGGGCGTCTATCTCATATGTCTGGCCGGTTAGACGATTACTCAAAACTACTTGAACTCTACGGTACGTTTGTTCGCTAGTCTTGCCACCGAACACTCCGACGGTAAGAACCTCCGTTCCGAGAAGCTTGCAACCAAGACCCCTCGACAGCTCCTCTGTAATGAAGGAGCGCTGACTACCGCTGTCGAAGAGAATGCGGGCCAACTTTCTTCTGTTCTTGCTTTCTACCCAACCGGTAACCGATTGCAGAAGGACAGCCGGTTTGTTGCCCTTCTCGCTCACATGCAGGTTGAGAGGCGTCCTGTCTTTCTCCCGCGTTTCATCCGATCCGCTGGCAGCTCGTCCCGGAAAGTAATCTGGATCACACATAGCGGATACATGCCTTCCTCGACACCTGTCACAACGGAGCGTGCCGCGACACATTCTTGCCGTGTGGTTCGGCTTTGTGCACCGGAAGCACCTGCGATCGGCTTGCAGCCTGCACTTCGTTTCCTTCAGTTCGATCTTCGCGCTACAGTCTGGTGTGCTGTGCGCCTTTGATTTGCAAAGAAAGCATTCCATGCTGTCCATCCTGCCATACAAGGCCGTAGCGGTAGCGTTCCGAGTCTTGGCGTTGTTTAGGCGCCTCTTCAGATGTTCATGCATGGGGAAACAATGTGCAGGCTTACCGCCGGCGTCTTCGGGTTGTTCCTTGGATGTTTTCTCCCGGCTCTCCACCTCGATCTTGAGAAAGTTCAGCAGCGCGCGCACCTTCTTTACGGGTCCTTGCCCCGTTGCTGAGTCGGAGCCGATGTCGGTGGCTGATGTTCCCCCGGCGGTGGCGTTTTCGGCGTTCCCCGAAGACATCTTCCGGTTGAACTCCAGCCTCATGTCGTCCGGAAGCGCACGAAGCAGAACCGGGTAGAGCATGGCACAGTATGACTGATCCGTCACACCCAACGCCCGAAGGCCCCGGATGTGAGCCTGGACGCTGTCGTAGACCCGCCGCAGAGGTCTGACGCTGCGCGATGACGGCACCTGATTGATGTCCATGAGCCCTGTCATGTGGTCCTGTATCAGCTCCGCCTGGTTCCCGAACCGCTGCTGCAGGAGCTTGATGGCGTGGGCGTAGCATTCAGCGGTTGGGTGCAGTCCTGCGATGGCGGCTGCTCCATCACCAGTCAGGGCTGACCTCAAGTAGTTGAATTTTTCTTAGGATGATAGTTCCGGATTTTCATGGATGGCGGTCTGAAATTGCTCCCAGAAGGGCTGCCAATTTCTTCGGTGTCCGATAAACTTGATGAGCACTAATTTGGGAAGCTTGATTTTTGATGTCACCTTTCTTGCTTCCCGCTCTTCGTTCGGTTTCCCACTTGTTCGTTGGCTGTCCTCCGGGCTTTTCACTTTCCTTTTGAGCTTCGCTAGGCACGTGACGATCTTGTCAGAATAATCTATCACTTGCGTGAATTCTGCTTCTGCTTCTTTTTCGGAAATCAACGACTCGATCGCCGCATCTACGTGGTTGAGTTGGTCCCGAGCGAGGCTTAGACGTTCGATCAATATATCGAGATCATCGACGGTCGGCGTAGCTGATTGTAATAAATCCTGTGCCTCACTGAGGAGCCTCCTTACTTGCGTTCGATGCGTTTTTCGTTTTTTCTTGAGGACGTCCATTGCCGTTCAGTCCTGGCTTGTAGTGCTGCTTGCTTGTGTCGGTCTATCGTAGATGTTGACGTTGATTACCAGGTTTCGCTCGTTCAGTCGTTACGTTCCCTTCTCTGTCTGCTGGCGATTCGATCACACCTTGCTCGTCGGCTTCATTTGTAGTGCAGTAGTCTCTTTTCCCGGGTTTCGGCACCAATTATTTTGTTGAGGGAATTGTTGCTTCTTGGCGTTCCGAGATATCGATCAGTCTCAACAAACCCCAACACTTTTATTTTAAACTACACACACTACACACACGTTCCAAACAGACGAGCCACATTCTCGTTCTCCGATCGGTAGCGTTCCAGCTTTCGTTCTGTCCGTCTCCACATTCCCAGCTGTTGACCTTCGCGGCTGCATCCGGCCGCTGCGGGTACGAAGTTTACATCTCGCTCCCCGCGCGCGATCGTAAATCGTCTCCGCCGAGACAAGCCGTGGTGTGAGGTTCAGCTCGCTCCTCGCGTGCATCCTCTCCGCAGAGGGAATCCGATGCCGTCCTCGCGAAAGTTTCAACACCATTCTTGTGACAATTCGCATGCATTATTTATTTCTGTACCCTCAGAAAAAGAAAAAAAAAAAAAAAAACAGGAGATACGAGCGTAGTTACTATATATTTCTTGAAAATGTGAACTGTTTGAAATTTGATCATACAGGTTGCAGCAGAATTTGAGGAACGGAGGAATTTCCCTCATTTTCTTGGAGCCATTGACGAGACGCATGTCACTGTCGAATGCCCCCCAAAAGTCTGGCAGCCTCGACAGAAACTAATAAAGGCTCCTTCAGCAAGTCTATGCTTGCCATTGTGGCCAGCGGCATCGTCAGAAGCATTACCGACAAGCAGCGCCGCCAGCCCCCGGCAGTGGCAACCAAAAGCGCGCCAATAAACGCCATTGTTCTCTCAGCAATCACCGCGTTGGGTGGTCCCTACCCGCGGTCTACATGGTGTCAGAAGACACAAAGAACCCGGCGAAGTAGGCTTAATGTGAAAAGGCCTAACGGTCAGCCTTCGCCGAACAGCCGCGCCAGTTGCGCAACCCTGCCGCTGCAATGGCTACAGCAGCGACAGCGGGAAACGTAACATCCCTGCTACCAGCCCCGAAGCCCCTGGATACGTCGCAGGATCTTTGGGTGGCATGGAAACTTTGGGCGAGTGAGTACAAGCTCTACGCGACTGCGACCGGGCTCGCAACGAAGCCAAAAGAAATTCAGGCGGCAACGTTTTTGGTCATAATCGGTGAAGAGGGACGGAGGATCTTCCGCACGTTCAGTTTCGAAACGGAAGCGGATCGCGACGACGTAGACAAGCTCTTTGAAAAATTTGAAGAACACTGCAAGCCCGTCGTTAACCTCGCGTACCACGACTTCGTTTTCGGCACGAGAGACCAAAAGTCGGGAGAACGCTTCGATGAATGGCTGACTGAGCTTCGTACGCTCATCCGGAACTGCGAGTACGGGCAGCTCGAAGAGAGGATGTTGAAAAGCCGCATCATCCTTGGCATAAAGGACAAGCGGTTGCAAAGCCATCTGATCAACGAGAACCCCGATTTTCGCAAGCTCGTGGAAATTTGTCGCACGCGAGAGAAAAGCAAGGAGCAGGTAGAAGAGATACAAAAAACGACCCAAGCTGGCCGCGGCAACGCCGACAAGCGCCAGGACGGCACTGAAGAGGTCAACTTCGTACAGAAGGACAAAGCGTGCGCGAAGTGCGGTTACGCGTACCACAAGAACCAAGCCTGCCCCGCAGAAGGCAAGAAATGCAAGCAGTGCGGCAGACTCGGCCATTTCGCGAGCGTCTGCCGATCAAAGAAGCCGAACAAGAGAGGCGCGGGACAGGTGAAGACCCGAAAAGTTGACAGCCTGGAATGCGAAGAAAGCTACTTTCTGCATGCCGTCTCGTCGAGCTACACGCAAAAAGGTGGAGTTTGGAAAGCCGAGATCGACATTGAGGGCAAGCCAGTGGTCTGCAACTTGGATACGGGAGCAAACTGTTCGGTGATTTCACTCAAGCAACTGAAGGCGATAACACGCAAGGAGTTAGAGCCAAGCAACGCACTACTGAACACATTTTTCGGCCAGAAAAAGAAAGCTGCTGGAAAGGTGACCCTGCAAGTGTCCAGCAAACACGGAGCTGCTCGGGCACAGTTTTTCGTTGTGCAAGAACCGGTTCAAGCAACCCTCAGTGGTGAACTATCCCAAGAGCTAGGCCTCATCAAACTTGTGGCCACAGTGACAGAAGAGGGCCAACTCTACGAAGCGGCACAACCGTTCGAAGAGACTTTCAAGGGCCTAGGTGAACTACGTGGGGTGGTGTACCACATGAAAGTGCACCAGGGATCGCAAGGTGTAGTTAAGCCAGCCCGTAGCGTCGCACTGGCCCTCCGTGACAAAGTCAAGGCTGAACTCGACCGAATGGAAGCAAATGGAGTGATAACCCCCATCACCGAACCGACTGAATGGGCCAGCCAGATGGTAGTTGTGGTCAAGAAAGACAAGATTAGAATATGCTTGGACCCAGTTGACCTCAACAAAGCGCTCAAGAGAGAGCACTACCACATGCCGACGCTGGAGGACATAGTCACAAACATCGAGGGTGCCAAGTACTTTTCTACATTAGACGCTGCCACAGGATTTTGGCAGATTCGACTTGACAAGCCCAGCTCGTATTTGTGCACCATGAGCACGCCCTACGGAAGATACAGATTCCTCCGGATGCCGTTCGGAATCGCCACAGCACCAGAAGTCTTCCAGAGAGCAATGCACCAGGTGCTCCAAGGTCTCAACGGCGTCGAGGTGGTCATGGACGACATACTGGTGTGGGGTTCAACAAAAGAAGAGCACGACAGACGTCTTCAAAATGTCCTGCAACGGTGCCAAGAGGTGAACCTCAAGCTGAACCTGGCCAAGTGCCACTTTTTCAAAGCGGAGGTACGCTACCTCGGCTTTGTGCTAACGGACAAAGGACTTTCGATTGACTCGAACAGAGCAGAAGACATCCTTGCAGTTCAGGTCCCAGAGAACGCAAAGGAACTGAAGACATTCCTGGGAATGGTGAACTTTGTTGCCAGGTTTATCCCGAACATGTCGGAATTAAGTGCACCTCTACGAGACCTGCTGAAGAAGGACAACGCTTGGGTCTGGACCGACTCCCAACAAGAAAGCTTTGAGCGTCTTCGGACAGCCCTATCACAGGCACCGGTCCTGGCATACTACGACAAGACGCAACCCCTTGTGTTGCAGGTAGATGCTAGCCAACGAGGAGTAGGAGCTGTCATCTTGCAGAATGGACACCCCCTGGCCTACTCTTCTCGCTCACTGACTGAAGTGCAAGAGAGGTATGCACAAATTGAAAAGGAGATGTTAGCCATTGTGCATGGATGCACTCGCTTCCACGACTACGTCTTCGCTCAGCCGTGCATCCTGGTGGAAAGTGACCACCGCCCTCTCGAGGCGATCTTCAGGAAACCACTTCACCAGTGTCCGCTACGTCTGCAAAGAATGCGCCTGACTCTCCAGAAGTACTCACTTGAGATAAAATACAAGCCGGGAAACGAGATGTTCATCGCAGACGCCCTGTCTCGGTTCCCATCGAAAGAGAAGGTGCCAGAGGAAGAACACTTCCAAGTGAACGTCATCCAAGAGCTGACTGTCTCTGCAGAAAGACTTCAGCAGATCAAGCGGGCAACAAACCAAGATGAGAATCTCCGTACCCTGAGGGAGTATGCAAGCACGAAGTGGCCAGAAGACAAAAATGCGGTCCCCGAACAAATCCGAGCCTATTGGCCATACCGTGATGAGATCCATTCGGAAGACGACCTCCTCTTCCGATCAAACAGGCTGATCATTCCAAGCACAATGAAGAACGAAGTCCTAGACCTCCTGCATGCAGCCCATGGGGGTACAGAAAAGATGAAACAACGTGCCAGAGACGTCATGTTTTGGCCTGGAATGTCAGCAGACATCCAAGAGAAAGCGGAAAGATGTGCGCTCTGCAGACAACACAAGCCCAGGAACCAACGGCTGCCAATGATGAGCCATGATGTCCCAGAACTGCCCTGGCAGACAGTTGGCATGGACCTTTTCCACCAAGCAGGAGAAGAGTACGTGATCATCGTGGACTTTTATTCGTTTTATTTCGAACTTCGACGCTTGAAACACACAACGGCAGATGCTGTCATAAAGTTCTGCGAAGAGGTCTTTGTTACGCATGGTCTTCCCCACAAGCTGATCAGTGATAATGGGCCACCGTTTAACAGCCACAAGTTTGCCGAATTCATGGAGCACTGTGACATCATCCACGCGACGTCAAGTCCACACTACCCCCGTTCAAACGGAATGGCCGAGCGAGCTGTCCAAGAGGCAAAGAAGCTGCTGAGCAAGACTCCCTACGACACAACAGAATTCTACAGCGCCCTGTTGGAATGGAGGAACATGCCAAGAGACAGGCTCCTGCAGTCCCCAGTCCAGCGCCTGATGGGAAGAAGGACAAGGACACTGCTGCCTACGCACCGCAAGCTTTTAGAGCCTGAGACAGTGCCACCCCAGCAGGTGACTGCAAGACTTAAGGAGATACGCCAGCACCAACAGACCTACTACAACCAAGGTACAAGAAGTCTGGAGCGTTTGCACCCTGGGTCGACGGTCTCAGTGTTTGACAGTCGGACCTCTCAGTGGTCGCCAGCAGTAGTAGTGACAGCCGACCCTGCACCCAGATCGTACATTGTGGCAAACGAAGATGGGCAACAGCTTCGTCGCAACAGGGAGCACATCCGCTCTCATAGCCCCACAACGACGACGCCACAGCCTTCGGGACCCCAACCTATGGCACTACGGAGAAGCTCAAGACAGCCCCGCAAGCCATGTCGCTACATAGAGTGTGACTGAGCAAAGCTTTAGCTCCAGATTTGTGTTTCTTTTATTAAAGAAAGGGAGATGTGGCCAGCGGCATCGTCAGAAGCATTACCGACAAGCAGCGCCGCCAGCCCCCGGCAGTGGCAACCAAAAGCGCGCCAATAAACGCCATTGTTCTCTCAGCAATCACCGCGTTGGGTGGTCCCTACCCGCGGTCTACAGCCATTAGTGTTGCACAGTATAGATCGTTCCATTAGGGTCATAGCAGAGAGGGTAAAAGAGAAAAAAAATGCACTCCCCCTCTCCCCCGCAAGCCGTCCACTCCGCCGAGTGGGCTGTAGCTAGCGTCCGGCTGGCGTGCAAACTCTGTTTAAAATCGCGTCATTTTGGAACTTTCAAGCGCAGATGCGCAGATTTTGGTATGCCAGTTATCGTGTAATACTATGCTAGATAAAAAGACTCGCAGGGTCCAATTGCACTGTTACCTGCGTGCAAATAAAAAACAAAAATAGGGAAAACTGTGTCAGATTGGCCGGTCTCTTTGGCGAAAAGAAAATCCGGTTGCTGTACCTTTTTTACTATACAAAAGTTCGTACTGGTGTAGGCCTTTAGCGACCATGAGTGGAAGTCTGAAATAATAAATAAAAACGTGCTCTCCTGCCGCAATACACGCAGTAGTTGAGGGTAGTACTGCCGGCTGACTCAACTGCTATTTAAGTAACGGAAAAAAGATATGCTAGTTTATCATTTAGCAAAATAGAATAACAGAGAGCTGTAGGCTGATTTTGGAGTAGCCACAACTATCCTAAGAACGCGAACCACTTCACAACGGCAGCCACGAGCGAGAGTTCGGTGTTCGGTAGAGCCCGCCGATACAGCCCAAAGATGGAGAACGGCAACCTCCCGGTTTGTCGTCTGCTATAGCGGAGTCGGCGGCGTGCCCTCTCTCTCGTTTTACCCCGCCGAACCCGCAGAACTTCCCGGATGTGTGGAGAGGGCGCTGCGGTCGAACAAAATGGTGCCGGCCAGGGAGCGCTAAATGGAATGGTCTATAGGTAAGAACACGTCTCCATTTTGCAACATTAGGTAAGATCAGTCAGCATCATCTGTACTTATTTATTAAAAGGTTCAGGACGCTGATCGTGGAAATGAAAAGAGAATAACTGAACAGTTAAAAATTGTGCACTGCTTATTTTAAGTTATTTAATTCTTGTGCACCATATGCCTTCATGGGTGACATTTTGTGCACGCTGTGATGCCCAACGTTCTTATAACAATTCAGTTATTATAACAATTCAGTTATTATAACAATTCGGCATCATACAGGCCCATTTCGTCTACGTCTGTGGTTTGCAGGACAATTGAGCGGATTCTTAATAAAAGGCTCCTTGAACACCTAGAGCAGTATGGGCTGCTCTCACCCTGTCAGTACGGCTTTAGGCCCGGTCGTAGCTGTGAGTTAGCCCTGGCCGAAAGAGTTCACACCCTAAGCTCTCACCTCGACAACCGCATCCCCTGTCAACTCTTGCAGCTTGACTTTAAGCAAGCTTTTGATAGTGTGGATCACAACATGCTGCGCCGCAGGCTATCCGAGATGGGCATTACAGGCTGCCTTGAGAATTGGATTTCTGACTTTCTGCGAAATCGCTCCCAGAGAGTTGTTTTCCGGGGCGCAGTGTCGAGCCCCAAACAAGTCATGTCGGGAATTCCTCAAGGAAGTGTTCTTGGGCCGACTTTGTTCAGCATTTTTATCAACGATGTGACGTCTTCCCTGCAGTGCACACCCCTTTTGTATGCAGATGATTTGACAATTATGCACCCAGTCCAGAATCCCTCCCAGTATCAGCAACTTCAGGACGACCTCAACACCGTCCATGATTGGTCTGTGGCAAACAAGCTCCCCCTGAACATTAACAAATGCTCATCAACCCTCATTACCACATCAAGAAGCCATAACACCAGACAGCACAGCTTCCAGCTGAACGGAGAGGAACTCCCCGCCACTAACCGTGCAAGACTTCTTGGTGTGCCCAGGTAACACGAAAACATTAGAATAATGTTATTTATATGTTCGTCCCAAACGTTCGAGGAATGTTCTTAATGTCCGCCTGTATAAAGCTATTTGAACGTTTGGCAGAACATTCTTATAACGTTTTGATAAACGTTATTTGAACACTTGGAAAACAATTTTGCAATGTAAATACAATGGCCGGAAAACATTAGCATAACATTACTGTAAACATTGTAGTAACATTTGTACAACATAAATAAATCCTTTACGCAGCGTTATTACAACAGAAATATAATGTCTGCAAAACATTAAAATAATGTTCTGGTAAACGTTATAGTAACATTCGTAAAACATGTTATTACCACACTATAGTCGGTGACAGGTCAAGAACCAAGTAGAAGCTCCTCCCACCTCTTTCCACTTGAGCAGAGCAAACGCTGGAGAGGAGGTCGCCTCCTCTCCAGCGTTCGCTCTACTACAGAGGAAAGAGGTGGGAGGAGCTTCCACTTGGTTCTTGACCTGTCACCGACTACAGCAAAATGTATGCAAAATGTTCGGAGGAGTGTTCTGAACCATGAAGACAAATATATACTGTAAAACTCTGGTTCAGACAGTTGTGTTTGACTGCATTGCCAGGGCTGTTGCCGAGAGACGGTGAATTGCCATGGCAACACCTGTCACGTACGGTAACTCAGTCGTCTTACCAAGGTGCAAGCCCTGCAACACAGTCAAATTAGTGTTTGAAGTAGCCTTAGTTCAGATGTGCCCTACACACAGTATATATATGCCTTTATGGTTCAGAAGTGTTCCTCCAAACTTTGCAGACATTTCACCAGTGCAGTAACGTTCTCTTCTGTTTCACAAGCATTAACACTCCTTGAAACAATATATGGTGGGCCAAAACAATTCTACACAGCAATGACACCCTAGCTATTATTGAGTGTTGTTTACTCAGAAGATGGGGGCTTTGCAATGAGCATAAAAATGTGAGGCACAATCATTATTAGACCTTTTCAAAACAGCAGATTAACACATTTCAATATTCCACACCAGTGAAAAGACTAAATAAAACAGACATGTATGGTTTGTCTTCGTGACTCTTAACAGTCCCTCCAAACATTTTTTCATAAAAGGAATTGCATTTTTTTTTCGTGAACACTAACCAAGCTAGGTGAGCTTTTTGCTAATACAATCGTAAAAAAAAAAACAAAAAAACAAAAACAAAGCCACAGTAGCGTGCAACCTCGAACTATGTGTGCGCGTCCTGCCGGTGGCGTGGGGAACTATTCCCTCTAAGTACTGGCAGATTGCGAGATTAGCGACTATCAACACCCAGTTATATGACCTGCACTGCTGCCGTACTGACAGTCATTTGCCTAAAGTGGCGCACTGTACACTGACATTGAAATGTTTTGTCAGCTGAACAGACAATGCGCTTTTCAAGAACTTTATTTGCAACGACGCATGCTTTTGGTTCAATATGGTTGTCGTGATGTGAATCAAAGCTGATTGTGCTTCATGGGAACTGTAGCGAAAACAAAAAGGAAATACATTCTGTTGCGTTCCGCAATTCCAAGTACACACGATCAGCTTATTCGATACAGATAACCAGCCTTATCGAGATGCAGTGTAGAGAGTGCCACTCTAGGCGTATGGTCGTTAGTATGGTAGCAGGGCGGCAGAGCAGGTCATCTAAACGGATGCTGACAGCAGCTAATTTCACAGCTAGCTGCAGCAGCCATCGATACTAGTTCTTTTCGCTGCCGTCATGAAGTGCGCGAGTATCTCGAGGCCGCACGCTCCTGTGGCTTCGTTGAATCTTTCCACGTCTGTACATATATGTCAGGAAAGGATTCTACTCCAAATGGCCTTTTAATTTATGATTATTGTAATATCTCTGCACTCTTTACCCAAAGTTTCAAGTGAGATCTAAGCAGAGAATGATAAACAAGCAAACAAAAGTTGATCTATGTTTATCATTCTCCCAAACCTGTCAAATCTGTTTGGCTATATACTGGTTGTCCCAGTAATTGAACAGAGTGTGTTTGTGAGAGGCATAATAATTTAAAATATTGAACACTAAACCATCACAAAGCTTCTTTGTGACAACAGATGTAAGCATAAATATAGAAAGACACTTGTTCGGAACATAAACAGCTGTGTGCGCCTCACACTTTCCCGGGGACGAATAATCAGAAATTCATTTATTCAGCTTAGCCATAATGCCGCTCGACACACCACTAATTGAAGAAAAAAGTGTTCCCTTGGTAGAAAGTGTGGGATACAACCATCACCAGATTTAGCACAGCACAAACAAGCTACCATACAGGTGATTAATTGTAGAAGAACTTGTAGTTGGGCTAGTTGGTGAACGTTG